TAACCCTAACCCTAACCCTAACCCTAACCCTAACCCTAACCCTAACCCTAACCCTAACCCTAACCCTAACCCTATAACCCTAACCCTAACCCTAAACCCTAACCCTAAGGCGAGGCGCCAAAGGAGATAGGAAAGGGCGAGGCGGCGATAGCGAGCGGAAGCGTTCTCGCGCCCTCGAGACCTCGGCGCATGGCGGCCCCGACGCTACCCCGACTCTGACCCGCCTCCCGCTATGCCTTACCTACGCGTCGGCTATGTCAACAGCCGTGGCCTAAATGAGGAGAATTGGCAAGAGCTGCGACGATGGGTCGAGCGGGACGTCTTCGACCTAGTATAGATCGCGGAGACCTAGTATATCGGTTAGCCGAGCTACTCCCGTGCGCAGGCGACGGTGGCGGCGACGGTGAGGCCGGTAGAGCGGACGGGATCGCGGTACAAGGGAGGGATGTGTGTGTTAGCGTCCGCCGCGGTGGCGTCTCGTATCGAGGAGGTGGTGACGGTGGAGGAGACGGCTATCACGATCCGAATCGATAGCTGGCAGATCTCGGGCGTCTACCTCCCGCCTACCCTGCCACCCGACCAAGTCTATACCGCCCTTGCTGGCCTCGCCGCCTCCGATGTCGTCCTCGGCGACTTCAACATCCACTTCAGCCTGCGATACTAGTAGGCCACGCCGAAACCCCGTGGGGAAGTGGTGGTCTAATGGCAACAAGACACCGGCCTCGTCCGCCTACCTGCTCGGACCGACGCCTGCCCGATCCCGAAGAAACGCCTATGGCCGGAGCCGACGACGGACCATGTGTGGTCGCGAAGCGCGGCCTCGCCGCTCCTACACCTCGTCGACAACAAGAGCCTAGGCCTAGATACGGACCATGGATACACCCTCCACCTCTAGCTGCCGATTGCCTAGGACGCCACCCTGTCCGCTCCTTCCCACTTCCGCTTCTGGACCCATCGCCTCGCTAATCCGATGACCTAGAGGCGAGTATAGGCGTCGTGGCGGCGCCTCCCTCCGCGGCCCTTAGTCTCGATAGACGTCCACGGCCTCTACGACGCCCTCGTCGACGACTGTCAGAGTGTGAGTGCAGACGTCCTCGGCCGGGTACCGACTAAACCCTCGACTAAGGCATCCCCTCCTGCATTGACCAAGGTATCACCTCCCGCATCGACAAAGGCATCGAAGGCATCTACGAAGACGACGGTAGCCGCCGATCCATCTGCGACGGCGACGGTACGCCTAATACGACAGGCCATGGCTGCGGACCGAGACAATGAACCCCTCCTTCCTACCACTACTGGCGGCGATGCGATCTAAGAGGCGGTCGACGCCTTATAACAGCGCTTCACCGCAGAACCCCGTTTCCCTTTACCCCTAACCCCTCCTTCCTCCACCGAACCGGACCCGCCGAATCCCTTCACCCCTTTTGCGATCCGCGCCGAAATTCGCCAGCAGCTGGGGGCGAAGGCCTGTGCGGCGGATAGGGTCCATATCCGGTTAGTGAAGGCGTTAGTCGATACCGCCTTCCTCGACCGCCTCACCTATCTCTACACCGCCTGCTAGGAGACGGGGGTGACGCCGGCGGCCTAGAACGTGGCGGACATCTGCTTCGTGATCAAGGACTCGAAGAAGCCAAAGACCATCGCCAATGTCCGCCCTATCACTTTAATCTGCATCTTCCGCAAGGTGTTCGAGGCCGTCCTCCTCTCCGCCTTCGACGACGAAGGCTAGGCGGCGGTCTATCCGACGCAGGCAGGATTTCGCCGGACGTACTCGACGCTGACCCACGCCGCGGCGATGCATCTCCTCTTAAGTGCGAAACTCGTCGACGCCGTCGTCTTCCTCGACTTCCGCGCCGCCTTTGACGTGGTCCCGCACGCCCTCCTCCTACAGATGCTCCGGCGTCGCCGCTGCCCTGCGACCATCTAGTCCCTCCTCGCTAGCCTAAACTGCCTCGGCCTCTCCTCTCGCATCCTCGCCAATGGCTAGACCTCCCGCCCGTTCCCTCGGACGCGGGGCGTGCTCTAGGGCTCCCCTATCTCGCCGTGTCTGTTCAATCTGTTCGTGGATGACCTGCTCCGGCGGCTGAACCACGGCGCGGACCCCACTATCCCTCGGGCCCTGTTCTACGCCGACGACGGCACGCTCCTCGCGCGGCCGGGCTAGGACCTGCAGCCCTAGGTGGATCTAGTGTTCCAATGGGCGCGGGACAACGGCATAGAGCTGAACGTGGCTAAGTGTGGCTATCTGACGGCGAGACCGAACCCCGATCCTCTGACGCTCGGCCCGGATAAGATCCCTCGAGTGGACACCTACCGCTACCTCGGATTTCCGGTACGGAGCACGGGGGTCGACTAGGCTACCTACCTCACCGCCCGCATCGACGCCGCCCTCGGCCACGCCAAATTCCTCACCCTCGCCTCGGATGCATGGGGTGTTACTCATCGCCTCCGCGTGTACCGGCAATACCTCGCGCCGATGTTTGAGTATGGTGGCCCGTTGATCCATGCCTAGTATCAATCCGACCCGGATGCCCGGAAGCAATGGGTGAAGCGGACGGCGGGGTGGAAGGACCTGATCGGTTGGGTCGCCAGCGCACATGGACGCTACCGAATGACGGCGAATCTCCTCGGCCTCGCCTACCTAGAGGACCGCTATCTGCACCTCCATACCGCATTCCAATGGCAGCTAGACCGTACGATGCTAGACAATCCCCTGCGTCGCCTCTTGAGCTCGAAGCCGTGTACGCCCTTTGGCCATGCCTTGCGGAACAGCCCGTGGTATTAGGAGTGGCAGGCGGGACGGCCTCTTTCGGAATGCCCGCGACCGTCCTTAGACAAGTACCTAATAGATCGAGAGGGCGAGGTAATCGAACGGCAGAGCAAGGATGCTCACTTGACGGCGATCATACCCTTTACCACTCGCCAGGTCACGGGCTTACGGCACGCGGACATCTCCTTAACGGCGCCCTTGTCGGAGCAACGTCTACTGTTCTAGTATCGACGGGGGGTGTTTGGCCATGGCCTTCGACATTGCTGCACCCTTGTGGACCGCCCGTTCCGCCGTGGCGACGAGGAGTGTCCGTGCTTTGGTACGCTGACGTACCTGTCCGCCTCGCAGCGCAGAGTGAAGCGACGGCTCGAGGGGAACTTGAGGACGGAGGGGAGGTTTACGGTGGTGGACTACTAGTTAGGGGTGCAAGGGCTGAACCGCGCAATCCAGATCTTACGTCTAGTGGACCAGGCTCTGCGTCGGCGTTACTCTTCTACTTGCTTTAATGCTCATGCCTTAGATGCGTAACCCTTCTCTACCTACCTTCTTACTAATCTATGACTTTCTTTCCTTCTACCCTAACCCTCTGTCCGCAAAGACATTAAACTAAGTCTGCAATGACAGAAATCTACGGTCTGCAACGACGGAAATCTACGGTCTGCAATGACGGAAATCTATGGTCTGCAATGACGGTAATCTACTGCTTTTGAGCCTGTCTGTAACGACGAAAATCTACTGCTTTTGAGCCTGTCTGCAACGACGAAAATCTATGGTCTGTAACGACGGTAATCTACTGCCTTCGAGCCCGTCTGTAATGACGAAAATCTACTGCTTTTAAGCCTGTCTGTAATGACGAAAATCTACGCCTACAAGGCCGCCTGGCCTCCGAGCTGCCTTATACGAATTCCTATATTTCCCGCGGATAGTCGGTACGGAATATGACTCACTGTCTGCAATGACGCAAATCTATGCGGCTGCCTGATGCCGCCGGATCGACACCCTCGATTGGTATGTGACGACACACACGCCAGTTAGAGACCCCGCACTCTACAAGATTAGCCCCCTTGTATACGAACCCGGCAGAAGGACTGGCGAGATAGGGAGACTGGCATGCCACGACCAGATTAGACCTTTCTCGGAACCTTACCTAGACTGATAGCAGCTGGAAAGTATGTCCTCACTCTCTACCACAGGGGAGAATAAACTGGTAGTGGAAGATTTACAGAAGCTGTCGTTGCGGCTACCTTGACTTCATCCCCGCTGATGGGCCCGTGTATGACAGCGGGCATTAGAAATACTTGTCATTGGGTAAGCTGATTAGTGCACATCGATCGGACTTCCTAGGGGGACCATTAAGGACGGCCTTGTTCTGGATGCGGATGCGGTCCGCTGAGGACATTGTTGCTGATTGTGATGGCTCTCCGACCGCGGCGGCGATGATCAGATTGAAATTTGGGGAAGACTGGCTGCAGGACATTGGGGAATTTGATGAGGATTCGAAGCGTTCGACGCTAGTATGATGCGGGCAGGATCTGGACGGGGCTGCATTGTTAGACCATTGGGGAGTCTGCGAGGATTCGAAGCGTTCGACGCTGGTAGGAAGGGATGCGAACCAGGAAGGATCGCTTTTACGGATGGATGATCTGATCGGATGCCGATGGCGCGGGAAAGCGAAGGCTCGCACTACAAAGGTGACATCCAATAGGGAGAGTAGGCCGCCTTTCGAGGTACGGTTTTGCGACGAGCCCACAGGCAGACCGGCGGAGTCGGGTTAGAGCGTAATCCCTGTAGCAGTCAGGATAACATTGCATATGGACCCCTAACCCTAAAACCCTAAGTCCTACATTAATAACACGTCCTCCGTCAACGCCTACTGCACGGATGCGCACAACTAATGCACCATGCCGCGGAACTGATCTATGCTGAACCGTAACGCCTTGTATTCTAACGTGTACTTGTCCTTCTAATTAACGTGGCTAATAGCGGACGTGTTATAATAGATCTTTAACCTGTATGTCCGTAAATCTAATAACTACTAGATAGGACTGCCTGTGCCGCGCACCATGAACGCGTCCATTATCTTCTAGACCTATTCGAAACTGCTTTATAGTGGTTAACGTCGACGGATCGGGGTACTCCCCCTATCGTTGCTCTTATACTTGCTATCGTCGAAATCACATGGGCTACTACACGGACTGAACTCATCGTTGTCTGTCATCGACGGCGTTAACTCCTCGGCCGTCTAGACCACTATGAAATGCGCTACCTTAATGATAGTAGACAAAATCGGCGGATATGACTCGGGATCGCGGAATCTACTACGTGTAGGATAGACGCCTAACACGGCCATGGCACACACTAATGCCATATCATACTCGCGGTTGTGGATGCGTTAGTTTAACAATTCCACGTAAAACGCCAAACACGCTACTTAGATCTTAGTCAATGGCGGTGGATTGTTACTCGTTAACTCGGATAGGTTGCTATTCTTATCTTCATCCTCGCTGTCCTGCTCTTAACCTTCCCCCTCTACCTCCTCCTCCTCTTCCTCTACTACTACCTCTACTACGGCGATCAACTCTCGAAATGCCTTGGCCTGTCGCTTACTAAATCGATACGCGGGACTCCTCCACTCATGTGGCTGCTGCGTGCGCACGAAAAACATCAACATCTGCTACTAACTACGATAACGGTCCTTAATGGATTTGGCGTCTTAATACGGCTGCAATAGGTAGTACCGCGTTTAGTACATCTCCGTCCGTATGGCCTCTAATCGCAACATCACTCCACTACGTTCGACGGTGGCCTAGCTCTGTGTAGCGACGTCGGACATGGCCTGCTAAACGGCGGCTGCGATGGGTTCGGGCTCGTCCTCCTCGTCGGTATTAGGCTCTCGAATGGATTATAATAAATCCTCTGGATTGCACCCCTCCAAATATTTAATCCACCCCGTCCGCTTTAACCATAGGCTAACTTCGTCCTTCTCACCCTTTTGGATCTGACTACTGCTCTCCTTCTACATCCGATCCTAATATTCGTTGGCCTACTTCCACGCTCGGGCCTATACTGCCTCCTTAGTACTCGCGTGTACCTACTCGGGTCGTACTTCATCTAGATTTCGGATCTCAATGTACTAGGATCTATACCGGCTAGGGAAAAACCGCTAGCAATATACTCTCTTAGTGTTCTATTTTAATTGTCGCTAGATCCTTGGTTTGTCGGTGGATTGTAGCCTTCCGCCTTTGCCTTTAATGGACCACTAGTGTTTTTCCCTCTAATGTTTTTGTATTGTCTTCTGATCACGGAATATCTGTGAACACCTCTTAGGCTCTACACGGCACTGCAATCCGTCGGTGTATAATAGCAATTCGGTAATGGGCCCATAGATATATGGCGGAATAACCAAATCGGTCTTGTTGTAAACTACCCCTAGCTATTCTTGTACCTCTACTGTAATGGCTCGGGCTTAGTGTAATGGGACCTAGTGTTGCTTGCCTTATAAATGGCTCTAGACTTCCTATAGCCACACGGCGTACTAGCACTCTTTGCAAATGATGATCTACTACTTATCTAAATAGTGGAAATACTCTATGCCTCCCGTGGACTCCTCCGTCTTGTGTGGCTCCTGTTGGTGCAAATCGGGTTAAAAATGGGTTGAAAATAAGTTGATTGTCTTCTTCCTACCCTCAAATATCCTACTACATATGCATTTCCCCTGATCTAACGTATACGGGCTGTACTACAATAGCAAACCCTCGTAATATTACCCCTTGCCTTCTCCGCGAATCCGCGCCTTGCCTGTTAAACGCTTAGGCCACATAGGCTGCCTACATCCCCTTGTTCTACGTCTATATACTATAGAACTTTAAACCTGCTATATGCACTTCTATCACATATACTATGTCAACACGGCCTCTGTTTGGTATGGTCTTCATATCAATCTTACTCACAAAAATTCACTCTATAACATACTCGAATTTAGCGTAATTCTATGGGTTTTTAGAAACTCCACCCTACTTAAACTCCACCCTACCTATTCTGAAAATTACCTAGCCATTCTGAAATATTATTTGGTGAGCAAAAACTCTACCCTTATAACGGTAGAGTATAGTATTTTAGTTAGAGTAATATCTAGTACTACTTTAAGTAATAGTTTAAAAAAACTAACTAATAAATACTTTAAAAGATCTATTAATTTAAAAGAATATAGACATTTAATTACTTATATTATAAAAGATAAAGTTATAAAAAATCAAGTTAATTTATTAAGTCCTAGAATTAAACGAACTCTAACTAATAGTAAAGAAGTAAATACTACTAATATAACTCTAAATACTAATAGAATAGAAGATATATTAG